GATTCTGATGCTAGGGTCCAGCATCAGGACACAGGATCCAGGGCACAGTGCCATTTAAAGAACAGAGGTCTCTGCAGACGATGGTGTAGCAGCCCTGGCAGGCCAGTTTGGAATAGCTGGAGGGGCTCTTCATGATACTAAGAACTTTGTAGAGTTTTCCTAGGGAGCCTCCACCCTGGTGGTACTGCCTGAAAAGACCCCAGGTTAGTGAGTTTCGGCTGGGTGTGTCATTTGAATATAAGAACCCTGCCGTGTCTGAGGCAACAGCCAGGTCTGTGCTTGGAGCCCTAGCTCCCTTCCTCCTCATCTGAACATGGGGGCTTTAGCCTTTGGCCCCCAGGCTGACTGGCATTACAAAGGGTCCTGAGCCACAGAAGGTTGCCACTGAGGTCTGTACTGGAGAAGCAGCCTGGAGAAGCTTAGCTTGTCCCTGTCTGTCTCCGAGTCCTCTAAGACAGATGGCAAGAATGTCCCCAGAGCTGGGGAGGGACCCGTATGTCCTGATCTGGAGGTGAGCTGGGGCAGACCATGATCCCTGAGCTCTGACCGCCTTCTGTGCCTGCTGCTGCTAGGCACATGTGGCATTGCTTCAGGGAACGCACACAGTGTGCACTGGCCCAAGAGGAAGCTTCTTCTGGGACCAGGTGGGGGAGATGGATGAGGAAGTGTGCTAAAGAGTGTGTTTTCATATGAGCCTGTTGGTGTGCATGCTTGTGAGCTTGTGAGAGTGCACGCTATGAACCCATGAGTACTCGTGCATGTAAACCTGCAGGCTTAAGTGTACGTGAGTCTGTGAGCACGTACGTACGTGAGCCCATGAACATGTGTGCATATAAGTGTGAGTGTGCATGCATGTGAGCCTGTGAGTGTGTGTGCTGCGGGCTAGTGAGCTTGTGTGCACGTGAGCCTGTGGATGTGTGTGCTATGAGTCTCGTGGGTACATATACGTGTCGTTGTGAAAGTGCCAGTGGTCTCCATCGGAAGACAGTAGAGGTTTGAACCATGTGTTGAAGTAGGAGGGTCTGGATGAGCTAACCATGCCCTTCACCAGTCCTGGAAACAATGACCACGGTGGGAAAGCTGGCCCTGCCCCTAAACAAAGAGTTGGCCCCACACATGGAAAGCTGGCCTCATTCTTCACCTAATGGGAGTGGTCCCAAAGGCCTGGACTGACCAACTCAGCAGCCTCCCACATACAGATCCATGATTTTGAGCTGTCATACCCCAATATCTACCCCATCTGTGACCTGCTGGGGTGTGTGGAGGGGTCGGTCCTACAGAACCATAGCCACAGGATCTCCCTGACTCGGGGCAGCAGCAGGCTATCTGAGGAATTTCCACGCGGGTCCAGCATTGATGGTGTACCAGAAGCCAGAGGCCTTGAGCCTGACCAACAACACATTGAACAGTGAGCATTTGCAAGTAAAGTTGTTTGGACAGAAGGGTCTACTGCATGACACGCAGCTGCACCCAATGCCGCTAAGACAAATGAAGCGGAGGTGGAGGGGGGCAAGAAAAAGGAGAGGGTCAACGTGGGGTTTGTTTTGTTTGTTGGCTTGCTTGTTTTTAATTAATATAGATATTATTTGTATTTTTAAATTTTTCAAATTTTTCTTTTGTCCTTTTTTTTAATCTTGATTTTTATTATTTCTTTTTTAGTTTTCCTTTGGGAGTGACACTAAGAGGAAGATATGGAGGAACTGGGAGATGAGTGGGATTGGGGTGCATGGTGTGAAATTCTCAAAGAATCAATAAAAATATGTTTTTTTAAAAAAACACAAAGATTGAGTTTGACATTCGGAACTCATATAAAAAGTCAGTACTTGGACTGGAGAGATGGCTCAGCAATTAAGAGCACTTGATGCTTTTGTGGAGGACCCAAGTTCAATTCCCAGCACCTACATGGTAGCTCACAACCATCTGTAACTCCAGTCCCAGGGGAACTAATGCCCCTTTTCCAGACACACACATGGTACACAGACATACATACAGACGAAACATTCATCCACATAAAATAGTAAGATAAATAAATCTGAAAATAATTTCTAAGTGAGTGTAGTAGTAGTGTATAGCTGTAATCTCAGTGCTGGGGAAGCAGGGACAGAATTCCTGGAGTTCACTGGACAGCCAGTTTGACTAACCAGCAAGCCCCGAATCATAGCGACTGATCTTGTCTCAAATAAACAGAAGATAGATAGATAGATTTTAGATAGATAGATAGATAGATGTTAGATAGATAGATAGATGTTAGATAGATAGATAGATGTTAGATAGATAGATGTTAGATAGATAGATGTTAGATAGATAGATGTTAGATAGATGATAGATACATAGATAGATGTTAGATAGATGATAAATAGATGATAGATAGATAGATAGATACATACATACATACATACATACATAGATGATAGATACATAGACAGATGTTAGATAGATAGACAGACAGATAAACTGCATGATGACTGAGGACTAGCACAATTAAGATTGACCTCTGAATTGACATGCATGTTACAGCTCCCACACACATACACACACTAAATAAATATAAATGAAAATAAAATGGGGCAAATTAAACACACTTATGGATAACAAATGTGGGATTTATCACCAGAAGAACTGCATTTTGACTAACAGCTATATGCGGGGCTAGAGGGGTAGCTTCAAGTTTGGGAACTTGGGTTGTGCAATGATGAGGACGAACACAGGGTTTGGGTTCTAGCACCCGTGTAACAAGCTGTATAAATCATGAATGCATGTAACTCCAGCTCCCAGGGATCCAATGCCGTCTTCTGTCCTCGGTAAGCACCTGCATACACAGGTTCATACACACATGCACGCACATGCATATACATGCATGCACACATTAATAATCAACTAAAGTGTGTATCTATGGTAAAGGTGACTCCCACCCCTGCCGTGCAGACAGCTGCTGAGGAGAACTCTGTGGGGCTGCTGTCTTTGGATTTTCTAGGCACATTCTCCTTGTGGTGAGCATTGGGATTCACTCTGGCCTGAGAGTCTTTAGCTCCTGGGCCATGCCTCCTGCAGCCATACTGGTGCCTCCATGCCATGAAGGGCGCCCTGTAGGTATGAGGCATGTAGTATGATCATGACTGAGGCCCTTCCACGGCATCAATGAATGCTCATTGTTTTCATATTGGCCATAGCCTTCGGGTTGCCGCTACTGGTGAGTAGACCCCTTGTCCCCTAAACTTGGTCTTGCTCATTTAGAGCTGTAGTCTGTATTAGCACCTCATTTTGTTATGATTTGCATCTCTCTGATAGATACAATTTTTATAAGTAAATTGAACCTTTTCTTTCTTTCTTTCTTTTTACAAATATGAGGGTGTTTTTAGAAGTCTAAATTATTTGGAGCCTTTCACCAAATGCATTGGAATCAATTTCATGAGACAGTTGCTCAAATCTCATGCTTTCTTTGTTTTATTCAATGCTGCCTTTCGAACTCAGTGCCTGCGCATGCTGGTCAAGGGCTCTACCACCAAGCTCCATCTCCAGCCCAAATACTAGTTTTCACTGACCTGCTGCGGGTATTTTTACTGTTATTATTAGATTGTGCTGTTTGGTTTCTATTGCTGTTATTGGGTTATTTTCTTGAGATAGGGGCTCATGTATCGAAGATGGACTTCCAACCTGAGATGGCCTTGAACTTCTGATCTTTCTGCCTCCATCCCTTGAATGCTAGGATTAGAGTGTGCACCACCACATCCAGGTTGTGCAATTCTGGGAATCAAATCCAGCACTTGCATGTTAGTCAAGTACCCAATAAACTGAGGTGTGTCCCTAGTCCTGCTTTGTTTTGTTTTGTTTCTAATAGGATGTTGTGGGCAGGGTAATATGTCCTCTGCTAAAGATTTTTTTGCCTGATGCCCAGAACCTGTAAACAGTTTCAGGGAGCAACTTGACTATGTGATTTCTCGAGACCTATGGGGCAGGTCTAAGCTGACCATATCTAAGTACAGTTAGAAATGGAGACCCATTCCAGGTGATGAACAGCAGTAGATCAGATTGAAACACTGCTGCTAGCTCGGAAGCTGGACAAAGAAACGATGGCCCAGGAAGTTAGGGTACCCAGGAAGCTGGAGGGGGTGGGAGTCAGACTCCATGCCAGGCATCAGGAGGAAAGCGCACCAGTGTCTTGACGTTGGCCAGCTGGACCTCTACAAGTCTTATTATCTTGGGAACTGTGGGTAACAGATCTTGTTCTTTTAAGCCACTAAATGTGTGGGTGACAGTTGAAGCAGAGGTGTGGGGCTAAACGTGAGTTTGTAGAGAGATTCTATTCTCCTGGGTCCTTATTTCCTTCCTTTGTGCCTGATAAGCAGATGGGCTCGTTTGAATGAAGCAGGGCATACCACTGAGATCGTCCTCCTGTTCAGACTTGCTGAGTCCCAGGGAGACACTAGCCCTAGTATGTGAGGAGTACCTCTCCTCGACCCCAGAAGCCCCCTCAATTAGAACTGAGGTTCTGGAGATGAGATGTGCCCTGGGTGAACAGGCCCCTCTTCATCTTCCCCGGTACTGCCAGCCCTGTGATCAGCACTCCCCATATCTGCAATTCATGCGAAGTTACTGTCTCACAGAAACATTTGCATAGCAAGAAAGGGTTCTGCATGTTCCCAACCTCTTATGAATGTTTCCTAGCTCTACGTGACTTTTTAATGGTCATGTTAATTGCTGTCAGTGAGCTATAAGGGGACACGGGGCTGGGATGGGGACAGGGCACTTATGATAATAGCAAAGCTGGGGGTCAGAGGCAGATGACCCTAGGGAAGCAGACATTGGTCATTTCCTCCGCATTTATAAATGGACTTTGCAACTCTTCCTGACTGTCAAGGTCATAGACAGCTGTGCTGGACGATACAGATGCAAAGAAATACTCAAAGGTAACACGGAAAGCTCACAGGCACAAGTCTGTTGGAGAACAAGCAGTTTTTGGAAAGGCAATTTTTCTTTTGAGATGAATATGCAGGTGTGGAGGTCACGGGCTGTATGGGCTGTGGGTAAAGGGCAGAGCTGGACAGGGTGGGCATGCTCCTTCCTTAGCTGGCGATAATGACAGAAGGACGTCCCTGTGTGGGCAGCTAGGTGAGGCGTATCTTCATCTCAGAAACCTTGTAGCTATAGTTGTACCCTCTCCATGACTTCCAATTGACACCGTCTGCGTAGCTCTTATGGGGACCCCCGAGGTAGAGGCCATTGAGGTTGGAAGCGTGACAATCCGAGTACCACCAGGCTCCGTGGAATCGCTGCGCACAGCTGGAAGAACCCTGGTCATTGTCTTGGTCTTTGGTAGAGAAGAATTGGTCGTTTTGGCCAGTCAGAGAGTCACCTGTTCAGAAAGAACATGCATCATGTAGAAGATGCTAGACATCCACTAGACAGCCCTGCCTATGACTTGCCTATCCTCAGCTGGAGAATTCATCAGCTCAGGTCCAGGTGAGGGAGCCATCTGTGAAAGCCTTGGGAAAGAGTATAACGACAGATATGACCCCTCCTCCTGGTCCATCAAGTCCCTGTGGCCACTGTCGTCGCTCTCCCACAACACTCTCTGTTCCCTCAGGGATCCTTTGAATTGCACCACTGGTACTAGCTCTCTCCCCACTGCAGGCTGCAGCTCTCTCTAGGACTTCTCTTAACTCCCCTCTTGCTCTGGCTGTCTCTCAGAAGACACCTAAGGGCCCCGTGTCTCCAGGGTTCACCCTGTTCCGCCTCCATGCTGGGCCTGCAGCTTGCATGGGCCCTCTGTTGCGTCCCTCTGATGCGTCCCCACCTGGGACCAGTGCTCCCTGCTTGTTTTCTTTCCTAAAAGTCCCAGGTGAGATGGGGCAAAGCGGGTGCATAAATTTCAGACCTGTCACCTTCGAAGTTCCTCAGAGAGTGGCCTGCCCCACTTAGCTGTGGGTTTCGCAGTTAAGTTGGTCTGGTCACGCCCCACAGCTCCCTGAGACACATTGGGAATCTCGCCACTCCCTTGTACCCAGCCGGGCACTTACTTCGTGGGATGCACTTCCCAAACCACAGGGCCAGGGTCCTTTGGGAAAAGCTGCTGTGGTTCAGATGAACTGTCCCCCCCCACAAACTGTGTGTGTTGAAGGTTCAATCGGGGCAAGCAGTGTTTGGGGTTCTGGTGACTGGATTAAGAGAGCTGCGATATTATCAGTGAGTTAGTCACTGATAGATTCCCAGTAGCTCTTAGGGAGATGGTGACTCTGGGAAGTCAGGGTCACTAGAGACATGCCTTTGAGGGGTGTTCCCTTTCAGTCTATCTCTTTGCTTTCCATTGACCCTAAAATGAGAGGCTTTGTTCTATTAGAAGCTTCCACCATGATGTTCCTCCTCACCTTTGGTCCACAGTAAAGGGTCTGACTAACTCAGTGTCCCAAAGGTGCTCTTTCTATGGGAAAATGGGGCTTTAGCACCTAGGGAGAGATGACCATCTCCTGTCTCTATCAGGTATGGTAGTCAGTGGTCCCCACTCACTCTGCAGTGGAGCAGGGTGGGGCCCTTAGTCTGGGCTATTGGGCAGTCTTGGGAGTGCTATCAGACTGCATCAATGGTCCTCACCTAGCATAAAGATGCAGATATTAGTGTTTTTCAGATGGCAACCCTAGCCTCAGAGCCATAGACACAGCTCAAGGCTACCAGGGGGAGACAAAAAGCGGGCCCCTTTCCTCCCAGACTGGTTCAGAAGCCCCCAACTCAGGCCTCTTCCCAAACCGCTCACCAGCACCACCTCCAACAAAATTTCCCAGGACAAGCTTGTATTTCTCGGCCTCTCCCTGGATCCGGAAGGAGCTATACTTGGCAAACTCGTGCTTGCCCTCAAAGTCTGTAAGGTCGACTCGCAGCTCACTGGTTCCTGCAGGAAGTGGAGGGGGGAGTGTGAAGAGTCAACCTTTGAACTTGAACACTAGGCAGGCCTGGGGAATTCACCTGGGTAGGTACCAACATCTTTTGGCCTGGGTGGGGGCACCATTTCTAGGCACCCTCCCTTCTGTTCTCCAGGCAGTACCTGAAAACCCACTGGCAGTGTTCCCTTGGCATGACCTGGCATGCTTCAGTCTGTGAATTCTCCCAGAGGGCTCTGCCCTCAAATGCAGTAGCCTGAATCTGAATGTGAAGGTTTCTTTTCTTTCTTTCTATTTTTTCCCTTCAAAAGTTGGATGCACAGGAGCAGACACAATAAGGTGTCCTGGCAGTGAGTAGGAGACAAAGGCGACGTGGTTTTCATTGGATCACAGGACAGACCATGGGCTGGTGTGATGTACCACAGTGGGGCCAGAAGGGCTTTGGGGAGCCTACTCTCTGTGGCAAGGGGGACTTCAACAGGACCCAGAGGCAGGTGTTCTGGATGAATTAACAGCTAGATTTGCGAAGGGATGTCCCCAAGACTACCTGCACACCTCTTCCATTGTTTTCTGAGATGTTAGTAGCCCGCAGCTAGAGAGAGTCCTATCCCCTGACACTCACCCTCTGGAAGGTCCCAGCAGCGATTTCATGCCCTGGGGTGTTGTTAATGTGCCCTCTAACCACCTGGGGCTCTTCTGCCCCCTGGTCCAGCACTCAGGGTCTCAAGGTTACCCAACCTGACTGGCACTGCCTACCCTGCGTGGTCAAGGCGTGGATGTTGTCATTCCCCAGCCAGAACTCCCCCAGCTGACTGCCGAAGCCCTGCTTGTAAGAGGCCCAGTCCCGAAAGAAGTCCACAGAGCCGTCGAGCCTCCTCTGGAAGACCTGGGACAGATACACAGAAGTCAAGGAGGCAGGCAAACTTCCCACAACATTGCGGACCAAGTCTCAGAACAGAGCAGGAACCCGTGATCCCCAGAACACTGGGGACCTAGTGCCATATGCATGCCATCGCAAACCCCACACAATCAAGTACATGGCAGCTAAGAGAGTAGGCAACGTGCCCCAAGCCACAGAGCAGGAAATGGAGTGTGCTGGCTCCATCTGGTCCTCCCCTTCAACATGGGCTCCCCTGCACAGGTCACCAGCCAGCATTCTCAATTCTTTGTCGTCGGAGAAGAAAGGGCTCCCTCTGAGGCACAACGGGACAGAGAAGCCCACAGATCTCATTTCCTGTTGGCCACAGAACTTGGGTTCTGACAGTTCTGTGCCTGAGGGATAGCCCAATACTCACAGTCCAGCCTCCACCATCAGTCTCCATGTCACACAGCACAGTCAGGGGCCTGCAATCTGACAGGTAGATGGTATACCAGCCAGTAAGAAAGTGGCCCCGGGTGAGCAATTCCTTGCAGGCCCGAGCTCCTGTGGAGGGAAGCAGGGAATGAAGGTGGGACTGGAACCCAGGTATGCTCAAGAAGGTAGGCAACAAGCCCAACATCATACGGCAGGGACCCAGAAGGGGAGGCAGGGACAGAGAATATCTCCATGGGGACAGAGTAGATGATGTGGTTACCTGTAGCACATGACTGAGATGGCCCGGTGTCTCCTGTGAGGGGAGAGAAGTGACCTGGTTGTAAGTGTGTGGTCATCAGCTTCATCCCCATTGACCCGTAAGTCCCCACAAATGCATGAGCTGGGTAATTCCAGGACTCGCCTAGGTCCTCCTCTTGAGGTACATGGTCCAGCTGCCTGGCTTTTCCTTTGCAGCTCTGGTAAGTACTGTCCTTGACAACACCCTTGTTGGTACCAATGGGAGTAGATAACCCCCTTCTTGTTCCCAGCATGCTTAGACTATACTCTGCCAGAGTGTCTAACCAGGAGGCCTTGTGGGTGAGGGATGTCCATGGCATTCAGAACTAAGGTAGCTCCCTCTCAATCATAAAGAAAACATGAGGCTATGTCTTAGAGTTTAATAATTTTAAAAAAAAATAAGTAAGCATCAATTAGAAAAAATTCAATTCAGTTTTGCTAATCACCCAGCTAGACCACAGGTAGGTGCTAGGATGTGAGCCCTCAGGGTTTGAATGTCCTAGTGCCCGCCTGCCACCTACTCTACCCACTGAGCCCCTCCCTCTCCCTGGGAATGGCTGAGCATGGCAGACCTCACTCTGCACAGAGCTGTGGACACCCCGAAGACATAACACATGGACTCACCTTTCTCTCCAGGTGCTCCCTTTTCTCCTCGGTTTCCTGGGGAAGCAGAAAACAAGATGCTGGCGCCCAGAGCATCTGATTGATCAGGAGACTCACCAAAGGGGCTAGTTACCTAAGGCAGGCACCGCTTAGGGCCAGCTGGCGAATTGGAGTCAGTAAGAGTGGGGGCAGGCAACCCCTGTTTATGACAGGGAAGGGATATTGAGGCTTGGGGTAGGGCAGGCTCCCTTCCCATCTCTTTCTCCAACCCCCATGTTCTTCGTGGACAGACTGAGGTGACTTTTTAACACCCCTCGGCTGTCTGCCAAGCTGTCTGTTACCTTTAGGCCCCATCAGTCCTGCCTTCCCAGGCTGTCCAGGGAGGCCGTTGTCTCCTGAAAATTCAAATGTACTTTCTGAGCAAATCATCCACCATTGTCTCCATGGACAGTCTTTGCCTAGGTGGCAAAATCCTGACCCTGTCATGCTGACCTTAGTGACCTTCGGGACTATAGCCAGGCTCGCTGTGGAGGATGCAGACGGTGGTATAATCTAACACATGGCTGGGGAGGGTGCATTGGTGGGGTGGGCACTGGGGCCTCGGGTAGACTCCCTTCCCATCTCTTTTTCCAACCCCCATGTTTTTATGATAGATCGAGGTATCTATTAATGCCCCTTGGCTGTCTGCCAGGCTGTTACCTTTGGGCCCCATTGGTCCTGCCTTCCCAGGATGTCCAGGGAGGCCGTTCTCTCCTGCAAATCCAAATATACTTTCTGAGTAAAGTATCCACCATCATTCCCATGGACAGTCTTTGCTTAGATGGAAAACTCCTGACCCTGTCATGATGGCCTTAGCGACCTTTGGGACTATAGCCAGGCTCACTATGGAGGGTACAGAGGATGGTATAGCCTAACCCATGGCTCGGGAAGGAGCAGAGGTAGTCTGGGTACTGGGGCCTCGGGCAGGCTCTCAGTAAGCTCTCAATTATTCCTTTGTCCAACCTGAGTGACCCAGGCCTGGGCCACAGCGACCTCACAGGGGAAGACAGAGACAGGGAATGTGTCTTCAGAGATGCTGTCCTGCTAGGTCTCCACAAGGAGAGGGCAGATCTTCCTCACAGAGTGTCCACGTAGAAAGCCGTGGCTGCGTCATGCCCAACGACCCTGTGCTATATAGTTTTTATGTTGGTTTGACACAAATTAGAGTCATTTGGAAAGAGAATAGCAACTGAGAAAATATCCCTACCAGACTGGCCTGAAGGCAAGCCTATGGGGTCTTTTTCTTGATTAGTGATTGATCTGGTAGGCCCAGGTCACTGTGATGGTGTTACTCCTGGGCTGGTGGTGCTGGAGCCAAGAAGACAGGCTGAGAAAGTTTTGCGGAATGAGCCAGTAAGCAACATTTCTTCATGGCCTCTGCATCACCCACTGCCTCCAGGTTCCCGTCTAAATTCCTACCCTGACTTCCCTGGATAACAGACTGCAGGCTGTGAGATGAAATAAACCCTTTCCTTCCCGAACTGCTTTTAGTCGTGGTGTTCTATGACAGCCATAGAAACCCAGCTAAGATGCTTCCTGGCTCAATGGAAGCTATGAGACGGTCACAAGGTCCTCCTTGCAGGTTCTGATAGCGGGAATCACACTGGCCCCCAGCACAGCCCTGCTGGTGTCTGCAGCAGCTTGAGGATGCCAGGCTCCCGTCGTCACCTGATGGACAGAGTGGACTTGTTCATCCTCTACAGACAGACATGTGCATCAGGAGAAGCAAGTTCACTGCAGGGACACTGCGGCAGGCCCGCTAACCCTACAGAGCACCAAGGAACATTAGTTCCCGCTTGACTCCAATCAGCAATGCACATTGGTAGCATCTTAGTTATAAGAAAGTGGGACCCAAAGTAAGAGGTCAACAGCCCTTCCCCATTGCTGGCTGTCCCATTCTGGTCGTGGGATATCTCTTCCCCAATGTCCCTCAGCAAAGTTCTGGGAACAGAAATCCCCTCCCCTAGTGGGACCACAGAGGCGAGCAAGCAAGTAAGATTTGACTTGGGGCCACCCACATCAGCTTTAAGCCTGGCATCTTCTAGTGGTATCAGAAGTGTCCGTGTTTGTCCTGTCCCCAGAAGATCATCAGCAGGGTCCACCTGGGGAACGTTCAGACATGGGGCTCACCCAGGCAGCTCTGCTGCTGAACCCCAGTGTACATCGGAGTCTGACTTAGGAAACATGGGTACCACCACTGTCTCCCCCTAGGGGAGAACAAGTGTGCTCAAGGTCTCCACAGGCACTAAGGTAGTGGTTCTGGGCTCTAGGGACTGTATTCTGAAGCAGACCCCAGATGGAGGATGCCCCACTCTCTCAGGAGGTCAACTCAGGGAGGAGCTGGTCCCTTTTGAGCCTTTCTTCTGTCACTTGGGGCAGGTGGGGAAGAAAGTGATAGCCCAGCTTGCAGGTGAGGATGCCAAAGTGCCTATTGCCTAGATGTCTTCTGGTGATCAAGTGAAGGAAACATAGGTAGGAGATCAGGAGGCACCTAAGATGGTCCAGGGAAACCCTCCTGGGTCTTCCCGACTGGATGGACCTAGTTTCTGTCATTTACCATTGTGCCAAAGGTACCCAGTGCCCAGTGCAAGACCCAGAGTCAGAGAGGACCTGAGGTGGTCATCCAAGTTCAGAAGACCAGACTCAGGGCCCCTCCCCCATTTCTGTACCTTCCATACAACCCCCTTTTCCAGAACACACCTCTATCTCCTTTGGCACCAGCTTCTCCCTTGGGTCCCAGGGCTCCAGGCAACCCAGGGCAGCCTCGAAGGATGGTGAGTTTGTTGGAGCCCTCCAGATCCAGGACTTTCACTTCTGCAGAACAGCACAAGCATCAATTAGTTTATCTTGGGCCACCTGCCCTGAGGGCGACTGCCAGCTCAGCCACATCAGATGTGGGTAGATGGCTACAGCCAGAATCCCCAGCCTCCTCTGCAGAAATGGGGCAGAAGTCAGATTCCTTTGATGGCGACTAGGTCTGTCCTTGTCCCGGGAAGCTGGGCAGGTGAGAGAGGAATTCAGGATACAGCTCTATCGCGTGAGTAGAGGAAACCTGCTCAAGAATGAGTCCTCCAGTTACCAGTGCTGTGGTCCTTTGACAGATCACCTAAGACCCCTGAGACTCTGTCCCCTCAGCCCCCAAGTGGTTGTAGGAACTGGAGAGATAGCTCAGCTGTTAAGAGCATAGTTCTTAGCAAGGTGGTGGTAGCACACGCCTTTAATCCCAGCACTTGGGAAGCAGAGGTAGGTGGATCTCTGTGAGTTCAAGGCCAGCCTGGGTCTATAAGAGCTAGTTCTAGGACAGGCTCCAAAGCTACAGAGAAACCCTGTCTTTATAAAACAAAAACAAACACAAACAAGCAAACAAAAAGCGCCGTTCTTTGAGAGGACCCAGGTTTGATTCCCCATGCCCACATGACAGCTTACAACTGCCTGTAACTCCAGTTCCAGAGGATCTTCTGGTATCTGCAGGCACAGGCCTGCAAGCGGCACACAGACGAGCTTACAGATAAAACACCCATACACATTTAAATATATGGTTTCCCTAAAGAATAGGGGTGTAGCAGGGACTCACTAAGAGAATGACTTTGGAAAACTAAAATCTTGCCATCATTCTGGCATTTAGAGACAACTTCGTGAATGGTTATTGTTTCTAAAAAAAAAAATAAGAATCTATCTTGCTAAGAAATTCAATCAACATAAGATTGTCTCTCAGTCTTGAGGATTAACCATGGAATGACTGGGCTAGAAGAGGTCTTCTGGGGAGGGGGTATGCATGCCTCAAGGCGCAGCTGGCACCCAACAGAAGTTGCTACATTTTTGAAAATATTGTTCAATTGTGGAATTGCAGAGTACACACCCTTGTAGAACTCTTGAGTTATCAGAGAAGGGAGGGTCTTTGGTGTGTTTCTTGCCAAACTTGTTTTCTTCTTTTGAGGTTATAATTCCATTTTTCCCTTCCCTTTCCTCCCTCCAAAACCCTCCCACATACCTCTCCCCTCCCTGCTCTCCTTCAAATCCATGGTCTCTTCCTTTCCACTAATTGTTATTGTATGCATATATGTGTGTTTGTACACATGTATTCCTGACTATGACTGAGTCCATCTGATGTCACTGGTGTGTATGTTTACAGGGATGACCGTTCGGCACTGGACAGTCATTTAGTGTGCTCTTCAGTGGGGAGGACCATCTCTCCTGCTCCCATCTTCCCTCAGTTGCCTGTAGTTCTCTGTGTAGGGTTGAACCCCTATAGGCTTTTCCTGTCTGGTTTCCCTGCTGGCTCTTTTCCCTGGACTGGGCTGTGCCTTGCTGTCTGAGTCCCTTCTCTAATCATGTCATCACCTAGGACAGCTGTCCTGTGCCTGGGAACAATGTCCCCAGGGTGGACAGAGCCAATCAGGGATATTCCCGACCCCAAGTCCTTGCCTATATGTACCATATGAGACTATGGTGTACATTTTTACCAAAGTTACCAAGGTGTGTGTCAGCCACCAGATTAGAGGCTCCTAGCATTTCTCTCTGAACTCCCTAAGAAGGTAGAAAACATCAGTGTCATCTTCTCCTGTGAAGCTCCTGAGGTTGGACTGCAGGCCTCGGGGTCAGCAGTCCCAGGCTATAAAATCTCCACCTGACCTGGTGCTGGTCACTTCCAGTCTGTCTTCAGAGGGTGACACTGAGCTGGCAGGAGCTTCTCAGAAGAGGCGGGCACCGGGACACTAAGTAATTACCTGCATTCAGGGGCTTAGAGTCCATCTTACCTGGGCAGGTGTCAGCAGCATGAGTGAGCAGGCCTTTGATGAACAGGGTCACGATGAAGAGGGCAGCAGTGTCCAGGGCCATGGTAACTGATCAGCTCCCAGTCTTCTCTATAGCTTTGCAGAGGCACCCCACTCTTATAAAGCAGAAGCCCCAGCTCCCCACCTTGGGCTCCAAGTGTCCCAATCCCCAGGAGATAATCACTTCCTGGAGGCCCATGGTTGCACAAGAGGCCTGAAATTGTTCCAAGGGTATGTCTGTTCTTCCAGTGAGGCCTCCCGAAGCTCACTTCCTCTGCAGAAGCATCTGAGCCCAGCCCAGGGTCACTTCTATTTGCAAAGGACCTGCCTTGCTGGCTTAAGTCAAGCATAACCCCATATACTTTTCTTGTTTCCCATAAGGCTCTAAATCATCTGTGGTTAGATAGGATTCTGGAGCCAGTCCCCAGGACAGTCAGGAGTGAGCTGGTCACTGGGGATTTGATGTGGACAGGAAAAGAAGTTCTAAGCACCTGTGACACCCGAAGTGCACTTGTACCGCCCTTGTTACCAGGCACCAAGGTAGAAGAACTTGCATGACATTTACAAGTAGATCCCACAGCCTGCAAGGATCAGACACTGGACTCTATTCTGTCAGAGATCCAGTGGACCGGAGGCCGCTCATCACACCCACAGGTGAAGACACCTCTTGTCCCTCCACTCTGGTCTCCCTGCCTTCAGGCGAAATTCTGTGTTTTGAGTTCTGTACCCCGCAGGCTCAGCCTAAACTGACAGAGGCTGTTCAGCTGAAGGATATGGATGTCTGATGATGTCAGAGGATGGGGTTTCAAGGAACAGCTATTTCCCTGGGTCACTGTGCAAAGTAGAGTCCAGCTGTACTGCTTGTGCCAAGGTAGACAGACGCAGGGACAGAGTTAAGAAGCCTAGGAAAATATGGGGTGTGTGCTGGAGCACCATTGCTGAGTGTGGTGCGCAGTTCTAGACAGCACCATTGTACAAGTGTAAGCAGGCTTCTTTCTGAGTCTCCCAGCACCCCTGAGCCAGAGAGCACAGGGCTGAGGCCTGGCAGGCAAGCTTCATTGTGTCAACTAGTTGGTTCAGGATGGATGTTCACTTGGGGTTTGGTCAAGTCGGAGAGAGGGAGTAAGTCTTTGGACCCCCATATGCCAGCTGCCTCTGCTGGCACAACTCCTTCCACACAGTCACCAGGGGAGATGTCACCAGTACAGTCCTGTAGTGGGAAAGGCTGCTGAGATATGGCTTGTGAAGACTGTAGATGCCGTGGTTTGAAGATCATAGGCGTTTGATTCCGCTGTAGTGTTGGGAGGTGGGGCCTCTGGGGCAGTTAAGACTAGGTCAGTGTGTTGGTTACTTTGCTATTGCTGTGATATAACACCACAGCCAAGACAACGAAGAGAAGAAAGCATTTATTTGAGGCTTATGGTTCCAGAGGTTTGGAACCCATAATGGAAGATCAGAGGTAGCAGGTGGCAGGCAGCAGGGGCAGCAGTCAAGACTCACATCTCAAAGGGCAAATAGGAAAGCAGAGAGAGGGCACTGGAGATGGCAGGTTTAACCTCAAAGTCCTCTCCCAGTGACATACTTCCTCCAGCAAGGCCATAATCCTAATCCACCTAAGCAATTCCACCAACTGAGGACCAAATATTCAAATGCCTGAGACTATGGGGGGACATCTCACTTAAACCACACAGTAAAGTTGTCAGAGAGTAAGTTCCACAGTCAGTCCTGATGGTTCTATAGGAAGAGGGAGGACCAGGACACATACGTGTGCATATCCATACACCCACGTGTTTGCACCCATGTGTGTATGCATATACCTTCATGCAAGTGCATACACATGCATGAGCACACGCATGTGTGCAATATGTACATGTAATACACATATGTATATTCACGAATGCATGTTTATAAATAGTAACGCATGCACGCATGCACACACATGTACATAGTAATACATGCATGTGTTCATTGGTACATGTATATATTCATGCATGCACACATGCATACATATACATATGTATAAACACTCACAAGCATTCCTGCCTTTCACCAGGGACCTGTGTCACCATTGCCAGCAAGAGAGTCATCGCCAGATGCAGACCTGGAATTTGCATGCCCAGAGCCACGAGCATAAACAAAACTCGCTTATTTATGAATCATCTGTTCTGTGCTCTGTCAGTAATGTAAAAGAGACAAATATATCCAGGTTCTGCTACAGTCAAATACTTTACATTTGGCTGTGTGGGAAACACTGACCTCTGGCAATAGCAATCTGGATATTCAGGACTGTCCATCCTACTGGGGGCAAACAGCAAAAGGTCACAGACTTGCAACCACAACCGCTAAGTTCTGGGAACATAAATCTTGAAGAAAGAAAATAAGGCTTCCAGCTTCTTTTATTGCTGCGAGAATTTACCAAACTCAAAAGCTAACTGCACAGCTGTGCAGTGCTAAAGGTCAAAGGTCAGTGCCAAGGACTAGGAAGAGTTTGTGTTTGGGATCCAGAAAGGCTCCAACCTAGAAGCAGGGTGAGCTCCCTCAGCATTGCTGCAAACTGCCTTTGAGGAGGTGTGTGCCAGGGAGAAAGCTAAGATTGAGAAACGTCTTGGGGTCTTCCCAGGTTGCTCGTGCCTGCATGATGGGCTTCACAAGATTTTTATAGTGTGTGTGTGTGTGTGTGTGTGTGTGTGTGTGTGTGTGTGTGTATTGGGGTGACAACTTACGGGAGTCGGCTCCCTTTTCCTACCTTATTTCTGAGGCAGGCCCTTTCCTGATATTTGTGCATGGTGTACTTTAGGTGAGCTGGCCCGAGCTTCTGACCAGTTCTCCCGTCTCCATCTCCAGGCTCTCCAAAAAAGAGCTGAGGTCTCATGTGCGGCCACTCACTGCTCCCAGTGGGTAATGGAGGGCAAATTCAAGTGGTCAGGCTTGTGCAGTAAGTATTTTTGCCTGTTGAGTCGTATGCCTGGCCCTCCACAAAGTGTGTGTGTGTGTGTGTGTGTGTGTGTGTGTGTGTGTGTGTGTGTGCGTGTGTGTGTAAGTAAATGTCAGAAAAGGATGGGAGACAACCATGCTCAAAGGGAGGAAAAGCAACAGGTCCAAGAACCAGTAACAAGAACCCAGGACATGGAACACAAAGGTCACAGGTGCCAAAGCTACACCCTCGTAGCGAATGCCTGAGAGCATCCTCTGAAACAGGAATCCAGAGTCCTCACTAAGACCAGGATCTTGGAGGACTGTGTTCATGTAAGTCTGTTCTGCATTGATGGATCAGGGTGCCCATGCCACGTGTCCCCTGAGTGAGCTACGTGTCCACTACATATATCATCAGTTATCTCTCCCAGCATACATTGGACAAGATGGACTTAAAATGTTCAAAAAAGCCATGATACTCATGAGCAGGACCAGGAGACACTGGTCTTCCCTGCCTGGCACCAAGGCATCCCTAAAACCAGCAGTAACTCAGACAGGATGCTCTTGACTTAGGGCTATGCAGTCAGACAGTAGGGCCAGCAATGGGCCCAGCAACAAAGCAGGGTGTGTCCCACCCTTTGATCTGTGCCAGTGGAGGCTCTATAGAGAAACAAGGAGTGAAAACTTTGAATAAATTCTCCAAACAACTGACTGTGTGTATAGAAAAACAAGAAGGGAGAGTTGAATCCAATCGTACAAAATGAAATCAATGTTGGGAAAACCGTAAACCCTAACATGAATGGTAAAACCTAGTGGTGTTAGATCATATTATATGTTATCAAACAGCTTCATTGATGTCTTATATGGGATAGAAAACTGTCAGGTACAAAGGAAAAGTTTAGAAACTGGGGTGAACCATGGAGAATAGCATTTGTTTTTCAAACTCCACCAAGGTGTGGGGGAAGACAAACTTGAAACACATCAATGCACACATGGTAGAGGGCTCGCTTTGTTGTAAGAGGGCTTCCTGGGAGCCACCCTCCTCTGGAAAGTGGACCAGTAACCCCAAGAGATGCTTATAAGCATGGATACTTCATTCCAGTAGAGGCAGCAAAGCACACACAGCTCAGGTGACCGGAGCAGTACCCTTAACATCACTAGACACCAACCATCCATTCAATCTAGCACAAATTTTTTCAAAAAAGCAAACTACATAGGGTTTTGGTGAGAATGCATGAGAACTGGGGACCCTCATCCACTATCACAGAGGGTGCACATGGTATAAACACATCTGAAAGCCCCTTGGCATCATGTCCACAATTCTTTGTGACCAGTAAACTCAGCATCCAGCCACGGGTAGCTCAGCAGGGAGATGCTGGGACCCACAGGAAGACAAAAGATCCACCTGTTGCAGAATGGTCACTACCCTGTAGGGGGTCTCATACTGGGGAAGTTTGTACAGCAATGGCATAAAGCCATCACAGCTTCTGCGGAAGCTTGCTGGAATTCACAAACGACCAAGCACTAAATGAAAGAAACACGAATTAAAAGAATGCTGGGTACAGGCTAAGTGTGAGGACCCTAGTTCAAATCCCCAGCATCTGCATAAAAGTCAGGTTTGGTAGGGTGCATCTGTAACCCTCTCTCAAAAAGTGAGATGGAGAGCCATTAGGAGGACCTCTAGCCTCTACACACATGTGCGCACACACAAGCACATGTAAACATGTATGTACACCGCATGCACTAGGGCACATGCATACACCACACACCACACACGCACTCATACACAAAAAGAACATTTATAGTTAAATTGTGTTTGTGCAAAGTTTATGAGAAGGGAGGGACCTGAGCAGTGGGATTAAAGAGTGTGGTTAGTGGTGAAGTAGATAGAAACAAGACTCCAGCCTCCCAGAGAAACCTGGTGCGTGGAACTCATGGAACTTCACCTGGGAGGGCCCTGGGAGGTTGGGTAGGGCCGTGTTAAAGTTTCTTGGGCTTTGGTGAATGGATGTTTTGGTTCACTAAAGGAAGGGCAGAGCAAGAAGAGCCAGCACAGGTGTCGAGGTCAGCCTTATTGCCTCCTGCTGTAGCTCCAGACCAACCATTCACAGGAAGCTTGGGGTATGGAGGGCCCAGAGACCCTTTCTATAC